GCAGCTTTAGACGCCTCTTTAGATGCCTTTAGACGGCTTGCAGGCAGCCTTTGAAGGAAATGGTTCAACACCAAGGAAGGGGTCTCCAGTTCACCAAAATCATCCCTTTTGCCATGGTGTAGCCAAAGTGAAAACACAACACATGTTGTTAACAAAGCACTCTGCAGGCACTGTGTAGCAAACATTGAATAAATTCCCTCAAAGACAGAAAGACATACAAATTTATTGTTATCATTGTTGTACTTACATAAATAAATATAGAGGAACTCTGGTGGGATTTCCATGCTTAGAGTTTTGGGAGAAGGCTTTTTTCCTGGATATAATGCAAAGGGATAATTATAACTTTTAGGCTTGCACATGTATTCAACAGATTTTAGGTAATAAGCTCCAAATCACCAAGGTAAGTATGCATCGTTGTCTGAATAAGGATTAGAAAATAAATGCAAACATCAATATTCAGACATCATTTAGAAGGCAGACGAGAAGCAATTTTCAGCTTTCAACTGCATAGGAACATCTATGCTATACAAAGTATCCTGGCCTTTCTCCTGCTCTGTTGTTCCATTCTGTTGTGCCTTAAGTTTTGCTTTATGTCCTGAGGGATATAATCTCAGTCTGTAGACATCTGTTCTATCCTGAATACAAAACTGAAAGAAGTCTGATTCCTTTTTCAGATTTTAAATTTGAATTGTCCAGCTTTGGGTCATTTCAATACAAATCAGAATATTGTAGCACAGGTTTCTGTATTTAAAATTGTCATATACTTTACAGAGATAAGTCATGTTAAAGTTTGCATTAGTTGCTTACAATCGAACATATTGCAGATATAATTGTTACCTTTGTATAGCAGGCTCTAATCAAATCAGAGCAAGTGACAACCCCAGAAAAACAGAGTAATTTGACTAAACTTCTCTGTCTAGGTTTAGTCAAGGCTCACCACGTCTCCAAAGTAGGAAAGCATAATGAATAAATGGAATGAAACCGTAAGGGGGTAAAATACAAACCAAAAACTGTTTAGGTTTTTGTTCATTTATGCTCCACAGCATTTAACCCCAGAGAACCAATAAATGCAGATGGAGCACAAAAAATATGAACTCACCTTAATGTTGCATTTTTTTTATAACTTCCATTAATCCAAATATTTGCTTCACAAGTCACATGTAAGAAAGAGTTTGCATGGTTTATATTCCCAGGATCCCATTATAGTAAAGCTCAAAACCAGTTCACTCAAGTATTAGTAAAATCAAAAGGGAAAAAAAAGGCCAGATTCTCAGCTGATAATAAATCACTTTATGTCAAGCAAAAAAAAAAAAAAATTCTGACCTCTGCTTTCCAGCATTACTTATTAAAACAAGACTACAGAAATAAGTATGGTAAATAGAATACTAAACAGAAAAGTACATTTTTGCCATCTAAATGCAGATGGTACAATGAAGATAGAACATCAGATTGCTAAATCTACCTCTATAAGGTAGAAAACTTCTGCATTGGACCCTTGTGTGTGTAGAACACATTGTTTCCCCAGCTTTCCCTTGCAACAGAATTTTGTAATCTAAGCCAGCTTGTGTCAGGGAGATTTATTTGATGTATGCTCCTTTTGTGTAATTATTCAATTATTACTCCTATAACACATAGCATTATCTGGAATAAGTCTGCACTACGGCAGTGAACCTCCTAAGTAACTTACACTTCTTCATATATCCCCTCCTCAACCTACCTCCCTTGTGAGATCTGAGAGGAATATCATTCATTCTACAGACAGAAATTTAGAAAGAAGTCCAACAGATCATAGGAAATCAGTAAGACAGCAAGAAACTGAACTCATGTTATAAAACCTAGATAGTATACCAATGCCATGAACAATACACCATATTTGAGGACCATCCAGTCTTCTGAGAAGGGGTTTACCCAAGATACAAGGTTGTAAATTGCAGTAGAGGAGATACAGATGAAACCAAATCAAACAAACAAATTTTAAAAAAAAATCTCTTTTGGTGTTCTTTTAAGGCAAGTGTTAACAAACAAAACCACAACCAACTCTTTCAAAGCCCCTTTGTTAGAACTGAACCTGCTGGAACATAGTACATATCCAAGTCCCTCACTTTGCCTTGTTCCTACTGCACCAACAGAAAGAGAAAATAATGAAAGGTGCTACGTAGCATTTGCATTCTAGCATGTAGGAATTCTCCTAAAATAAAAATCCAGACAGGCATCTAGAGATGGAATATGCCAACCAAACAGCACAAGTGAACAAGAGATCTTCTTATTACAATCACCCTCATGTTTTCAATAATTAATTTAGTTTCTTAATCCTTTCCATGCAATATTCTTGCTACTTTTCCATTATCAGACTCTTCCATACTGCACAGGATCGATTTTGTAGTACGAGAAAGGTAGAACGAAGCCTTTAGGTTTTCAACAACAACCGGTGAGAAAAAGAATGAGACAGCTACTCCTACTGTCTAATTGTATAAATACCATTTTTAGTTGGTAAGGTAAAGCTTTTAGGTCAAGATTAAAATTGCTTTTCAATTAGATTTTAAAGTGGTATTATTAACTCTCATAGGTCTACACCTACATGTAGTAAGAACAGTAGATATCTATGACTGTGAGATCAAGCTTATGATAATCAAGAGTTTACAGGAAACTCAAAAATTAAACCAGACTAAGGTACAATGTAATTTAAAGTAATTGATGATGGTTTCATCACAATTTCATGCACAGAAAGCGTGTTTTGGAATACAAAGTTTTGATTCTTACATCATATCCCATGCTTCCACAGAACAAAAAGTCTAAGAACTCCACAACTTGGCATGTTCAATGACCTGAGCTTCCATGAATCTCAAGCACCTTGCTTCCATCGGAAAAGTATAAATATCTCTAAAGATATAGACTGCAGCTTTAAGTAACTACTATTGATAATCAAAAACATTTTTAAAGCCCACTTTTTACAAACCCAGATTCAGTTTAACTCCCACATTCAACTATCCAAGCTAAAATCCTTGATAGTGACTTCCAAAATTACCATCATATACAAAAAAATGCAAAACAAAACAAAACCCTACCAAGCTCCTAGTGTGGCAGTAAGGACATTTACACATGGGAAGTATGTAAGCACTTGCAAAATCCTGGGCAATATTATCCTTAGACTTGGCTTTTATTTGCAAATTAAGTATGCACTTTAGAACCTAACAATGACTAAATACAGGGGTGATGACATTAAAAATCTGATCAGTGAGACTTCCTGCACATAACATAACAAAACACTTCTTTTCAAAACTAATTTTCAGTAATTTAAAAACTAATTTTTAGTTTTGGTTGTAATTTAACACAATTTACAGAGATCAAATATGCATCCACATCTCCCAAATGCAGTAGCTCCACAGAGCCAAACCATTATATGTATCCAAAAAGAAGAATCCATTTGCTTTTACTTTTCCTCCTCTGCTGCACTAAGGAACAAGAGGCTAAATTTCTTCTCTTCAAGAGGGCAGTAGCTATGAAACTCTTAGCCCCCTAAAGGACTGGCTCATACAAAACCACACTGAATTTCTTCTACAGCAGCTGTTCCTACATCTTGATACAGCAAGAGATTGCTCGGAGAGAGATACCACATCTACGTGGAAACATGGGTACATTAAGAAATGTTATCTGAGCAGACAGGTACTAGAGTCTGGCTCTATCACAGTAACACCTGCAATACTCACCGTTACAACACCCATAAAAGCCTGGATATATGAGGAAAGGGAGGAAAAAGCACAAAGACAAGCAACACAACAGTTGACCCTTTCTGGTGTCACTGGAAGCAATGGTGGGCACATCTGTACAAAACAATTTCTTGTCTACACTAATGAGCTGAATAGATACAGGTGAGTTTCGGCGTTGGCCATAATTAAGTAAAATCGGCTCAGTACTGCTTAACTTCTGAATGAAAGGCGCAGCATGGAGTTTTCCAGCCAGAGATTATCTACATTGGCTTTACACCTTCAGGTCATTTGTTTTAAATTTATGAACAGTCTTTGTAGGCAAGGAGAGAGAAGGGTCTTTCTAAACAAGACATCATAGGGCAATCGCTGTGTTTCTGTTCTGATGAGCTCTGAGCTGGGGAGTGACAGGAAAACAAGCAAAAGGAAAATGAACATGTCTTTAGAGGGGGAATAGACGTCTCTTCTACGAGGCCCTCGTAGAGGAAAGAGTAAAATGAGACCGGGCTGTCACTGTTTTCCTAATTGCAAAGGTGCTGCCTCAAAGGGGAGAAAACTTCCATTAGGAACTTCCTCTGAAACACCCCCAAAAGCAGCACACGAGGGCTCGTACTCCCCTTACACGTAATTCATCTGATAATGGCTGAAATTTGTTAACAACAACTTTAAACCCCGCTCTAGATAGAGAGACGGCTTTTCTAAACGGGGGTCTAAGACAAGCGCTTTGAAAACTCAACAGGGCACAACTGCAGTGAGACGGGGAAGGCCCGGGGAGACGGGACAGAGTAACAAGTGTGAGGCCGGATTTGCTTCGCCTGCGTTTCCCAAGGGCATCGCCGCCGGCACTGGCGGGGGGAGCCGCAGCGCTCCCCGAGGGAGAAGCCCTCGGGAGCGGGGCCGGGAGAATGGGCGGGCCGGGACCGGAGAGCCGGGAGGAGTAGCGAGGTTCTCTCCCGGCCGCCTCGGCCTCGTACCCAAGCCAGGCTGCCCCAGGCGCCGCCGTCGGGCCGGGACTGGCCTGGCCGGGCCTCTGCCGCTTCCCTTCGGGTGAGAGATCCGCCATCGCTCCTCGGCCTGCGGCGAGTGCGGCACAGCCGCCAGCGCTGCCCTCCGCCGGCTTTCAAATTGTGCGATAAACTTTCACATTGCTTTCACACTGCACCGCTAAACAAGTCACTGCGCCGGCAAGGCCAGCCCTGGTCCCCGGGGAGCCGGGCACCATCGTTCCCTGCTCCCTTCTCCCTCTCCTTCCTCTCCCTCTCCCCGCGGCGCAGAGTGAAAAAACGCCCCGCCGTCTACCTGTGCAACACCTCCGCAAACACATTTTTATTTACACGGAATCAACTCGGGGCATTATACATTATATACAGATATTTTCCCCCTCCAACAAGGCAGAGCTTGTGCAAGATTAGTAGCATCCTCTGGAGCATATCTGACAGTCCACGGGAAATGTCCCCCCTACTGAGATGCATCAGCTGTCGGAGTCCAAGTCACTTTTCCCGTCCTCTTGTCTCTTCTCCGGTGACGTTTTAGATGCTTTATTCCACTTTTGTGCGTTTTCTGACTCCTCCGAAGACGATCGCTTTTGCCTCCTCCACTTCGCTCGGCGGTTTTTGAACCAAACCTGTTACGTTAAGAAATTAAATTTTTAGTGGGGGAAAAAAAAAAAAAAAAGCAACCAAACAAAACTGTCCAAACCCGCAGCCTGATCTCAGCCCCGCAGGAGGCCTGCCGGGTCCGGTGTGCGGCGGCCACCCTTGGACGGGAGGGAGGGAGGCGGGGGAAGCTGCCGCTCGGGTGGGACCGGCCGAGCGCCTTCAGGACGCACGGCCGCCTCCCGACAATCTCTCACAGCCCCGTGACAAGCTCGGCCGGCCTCCCCAAGGAAGGACGCTTGGATATAATAATAAAAAACTTTCCGTCCAAAAAAGCCCCCGCAAAGCGATCGCTCTCCCTCCGCTGCCTGAGCCGGGCTGGAGCCGCACTGCGATACCTCCGGTTCGAGCGCTTTTGAGTGCGAAAGGGAAAAGGTGGAAGAAGGAAAAAGAAAGCAAAGTACCTCCACTTTTTCCTCCCTTAAGTGCACCCTTCTGGCCAGCTGTTCCCTGGTGCCCACGTCTGGGTATTTCGTTTCCTGGAATAGGTTTTCCAGCGCTTCCAGCTGCTCGTCAGTGAAGATAGTCCTGTGCCGTCTTTTCCGCCTACAGTGCAGCTGGTTCAGTAACTGCAGCTCCGTCCGGGACAAAGTGCCCACGTTCATATAGGGCAACATCTGATGGGGAACAGGGGACATCAGGACTGACCCAGTGCCCTCGTAACCTACGAACAGACAGACGAGTCGACTACAGGCTTTGCACGAGATCCCTGCTTCCCCCTCGATCCCCGTCCCCATCCGTCCCGACAAAGCACCCCTCCCGCCGCCCACCCGCGCTCCCTCGGGCAGCCACCTCCTCCGGCCCCGCGGCTGCGGGAACAAAGGAATCCCGTCTGCCCCGTCCCACGCGGGGCCGCCTTACCTGCGGGGGGGACGCAGGAGCACTGCTGAGCGCCCAGGGGCGGCACGGCCCCGCAGCACGAAGGGCCCACGGGGGACGCCGGCACATGCAGCTGCCCGTAGTAGTAGTTGTTGTAGCCGAGCCGAGATCCAGTGACGGCCGGCGGCAGCGCGGAGGCGGGAGCCACCGCCCGGGAGTAAAATCCGCCGTAGTCGGAGGCGCTGCCGTAGAGCGAGTCCCCGTGGAGGCTGGGGAAGACGACGGGCGCGGCGCTCGGGGGCAGCAGCACCGAGTCCTTGCAGCGAGGTCTGGCCGCCAGGATATTGTCGATGCTGAACATGCTCACAGGCATGCCCCAAACCGTGCGGGGCAGGGCGGCGGGGACCGGCCGGGGGAGGGAAGGAGGAGGGCGGGAGGGAGGGTAGGTGGTGGTTGGGGAAGGGGGGGGGAGAGGCTGGAAAGACACGAAATCGAAACTTTTCGGAGAAATTTTAAAAAGGGATCGGAGCGAAAAGAACAGAGCCTTTTCCGAGGGCAGCTTGCGGTCAGAGTGTGCGTGTGTGTCTGTGCGCGCGTGTGTGCGTGTGCGGTGAGTGTGTGCGTGCGCGCAGGATCCACCCCTGGAACTTTCCCCCCTCAACTCTCGCCTGTTTACTGATCTCAACCCAGAGGGCTGCTCGGAGTATAATCCATCTGAACCTCTTCCCTTTTTTATACCCAGGCGACGTCATCCTGGATTTAGTTCCTGGTAATATGCAGATGACAAACAAAACCAGATTTGATTTTTTTTTCTCCCCTTTTTTTGGTGGGGAAGAGGTGGGGGTTACACAAAGGAGTGAAAGCAGCCCGAGTCTGTGTATTCAGAATTAATGAAATTAACGTAATCCTTTCCATTAGCTGGCTTTTTTGAAAGGCCCCAGATTTAGGCTTGATCTCTGCTGCACCAGCTAATTGCCCAGGTTAATCTTATTAATGCCATTGTGCAGAAGTGGTTAGCAGCTCCTAGTCTTGTCTATTATGCACCTACTTTGGTCGTGTTAGTTCACATTAGTGGGTGCGATTTCCTCTGTCTGAAGCTCAAATTCATTATTTATGCTTCGAATTGGTTAAGAAGCACTTAAAAAAAAAATAAACTGCGATACAACCATGCAACGCCCTCCCTCCCCCCAACAAGTGTTTCTGTAGTAGGGTTTGAATCTTGCGTCCCCCAGCTCGGAGAACTGAAAGGGCATTGAGGAGTATGCGTTTCTCTGATTTAAGCTTTACGCAGTGAAGCAACAACATCTTCACTAAGTAAATTTTTTTTTTAATTTTCCTAGATCACCTGGCGTAACAAGAACATGTGAATGCTGTAAACTTCTCTACCTCTTTTTTTTTTTTTTTTTTAGTAGATTCAGATTCAGACAGGTATCACTTTTTACTTTTGTAACAAGCCAGGAGATGGAAATGTTAAAGACCAGTGCCACCTCAAATCCCCGGGTGTGGTAGGTGTTCCGATTTGCTTCTGATCTATCTTGGTACCTTTTTCTTTTTAATCTTCCACTTTCTAGCTTAGAAAATAAAGCCTATAAAGTTACAACGATACAGAGAACTTTATATTTTGCATGTTCTGTGAATTTTAAAATGGAGCAATTTTAAATCCCTAAAACTCTTCCTATTAAGTGGTTTGGCTCTCCTGGTAGCTGGCTCTTGTGATTTGCAGAATACTTCGTCTGTCACGACTGTCACTGGGAATCCACAGGAGGTGAACTGAATAAGATTAGACTATTTACCCCATCAACTCTCCATCAAAGAAGGTAGGAAATTGTACGCATGAAATGAAAACAAGCCATTAGGGTCCGTTTACGAGGAACACATTATTTTTCCTCAACAAAGAATATCCTCGTTAGCGCTTACTCGCACTTTATCCTTTCTTTCCTCGATATTCCGGGATTTAGAACTGCACCTGAGGATGATCTAAACCAAGATCCTATTTCTAACAAAAGACTCGTATAAACGTTAAAGTACCCCAGGACTAAATTCTCGCTTTATTGATACATCGCGATGTGACTACTGACTAGTACCGTTTCCTTTACTTCGATTTGTCTGTTGTCTGTTGATTTGTCTGTTCCTCGTTTGTCATTTAGACCTGAGCTTCGTGCAAGTTTTTCAAATTTGATGGAAAGTGAAACTATTTGACAGAGACTTACGGGGTTTTGTTAGATCTGGGATTTTTTTTTTTGTGTTGCTGTTTTTCAGGTATTGTTTTTTTTTTTTTTTTTGATTGTTTTGGGGGGAGTTTCGGGCTGGTTTGTTGGGGCTTTTTGGTCAGTAATTCCCCGGGTACAGCCGGTCACGCTACATGCAGAGCAGCGCCTGCTTAATGCCGTCATTGGGATGCTCGTCCACGTCCTCGGCGGCTCTGCAGCAATGCGCGCTATCATCCCTCCGGTCGCCTGCGCATCCCCGGCGGTGAGCGGGGCTCCGGGCCAACTGGGCTCGGGGTCCCCGAGGGAGCCAGGCCCGAGGGAATGACGAGAGCGGGGCACGGCCCGCTCCCGCACCGGCCCGGAGTGGAACATCCCCGCGGGTGCCCCGGGGGTCTCTTGCAGGGGCGGCTCTGCGGGACGGGCAGACATCGAGCCAGGCGGGGACAGCGCTCTGCCCTGGACTGCCGCCCCTCGGGGAACCAGCCGTGTGACCGCGCTGAGCCCCGCTCATGCGGGGGCTCACAGGTGGGGACACCCCTGTGGGGACACCCGCCGCCGGGGCCGACTTCTTGGGCGCTTAGCATCACTTGCATCCCGGTTTCATCTCCGCTCCTGTCCGGCCTCTCCCAGGCGAAAGCAGCACCGCGGGACACGAGTGGGCACCAGAGGAGCCGCGGTGCTGGCGGAGCACACTCCGTTCCGACTGTACGAGCGCTCTGCTTCCCTACGAGTTTTTCGCTCGTGAAGGGTCCCCTGAAGGATGATCCACCTCGCTGCAACGCTTACCTTTATTCCCAATTTAGATATGATATTTCCCAAATAACTTGTCATCCCCGTGGGGAAGTTCTCTTTTGTTTTGTTTGTTTTAATCTGAGTCGTTTTGCCGAAACCCCTAGTTTTGATACCCTCTTCGCAAAACCTGTTCTCGGAGTTTCTCATTTCCCATGCGCTCTTCGCTAACCTGGCAAATGGAAAATTGTGTTAAACAAACAATCAGTTGTCACACAATGTCGGGTGAAATTGTAATAACAAATGAAACACAAGCAAATTGTGCTGCATAGTGTTGCTAAGCAATTGTTTGTTACGGGAGGGTGGTCACAGCATGGGTTGAAAGAGGGATCTAAAGAGGAGTATAGTACTGGGCAGAGCAAGCTGTTAGGTATGAAATAAAGTAAACACGGCGCTGATTTTCGGTATTATTACCCAAACACGATTTCATACAAAGCAATCACCATACACAAGTCTATGAAAATGGGCTTGTTTAGAAACCGGACTTTTTTTTATTTTAATGTATTAAGGAATAATTCCGGGGATGCAAAACGCATCTATCGCCTTCCTGACGCAGCCTCTGCCCGGCCTGACGGCAGGAGCAGCATCGGGACTGCCGGCCGGGGCCGCACGGGTGGGGTCCGGGGAGCAGCACCGCAGCCCACCCGCCCAGCCGGGGCTCCCGCCCCACGCTAGGGGGTAATACCGGGGTGACCCAGGGCTTTGGTGGGTGTCCAGCTACGAGACCCGCTGGGAAACGACGCTGCGCGGCACATCTCTCACTTATAAATGCTATCACCCTTCGGCGTTCCCCACGTTTGTTTCAAAGGGGTTGCATCATCGCTTCGCCGGGAAAAAAAAAAATATGAAAGTCATACAATGCAAAATTACGGTAATTTGTTCCCAGAATAAACTTATCTTGAACTGATTAGGAAAGTCAGTCATTTGAAAACGAGGCAGAAACGCGGTTGGTTTTTTCTTTTCCCCCTAAAGCTTCCTTCTAAAAATATCAGCTTCTAAAGTTTTCATTCATATAAACTTTATTAATGAAGATCTTTTATTTAAATGTCAAGGGGATTTGAAATTTAGAGTAAATTATGAAGCATGCATGTCTTGCCAAGTCATGGGTCAAATGCATTTGTGAAAAACTGCTAAAAGAGCATATGGTTTTGAATTTTTCTACAATGACTAGTGTTTAAATAAATTGCTTGTACTGCTTAACTTCATGTATAATTTTGACAGAAATTGGCCTATAGCCTTTTGATATGTAAACATTTCAGGCTTTTATGCGGTATAAAAAGACACTTGCTTTTTGGGATCAGCTAAAGCAGTCACCCTGTAATTCAGCAAACTGGCACCTAACGTTACATTCTTGCTGCATTTCAACTTTCAAGTGGCAGCATAAAGGGGAAAAAGAGAAGGGACTTTTCAAAAGCAACGTCCAATTGGAATTAAAAACTGCGAATGAGGTGAGAATGTGCCACTCACTGCCTGATTGAAATGTATAAACCTTAGCACTAAAGAGAATTCTCTGTCTTGTTTTCTAAAAAACAACAGAGGAATCAGTGAAAACAGACTTCAACGTAGCAACAGACCTGACTCGTATGTCAAATTAATGCCTTAGAACAAAATCTGTCCAAAGTATAAATAGGTGTGACGAAGAAAACCCAGATATCCCTTCTGAATTCTGTCAGCTGTTTCTCTTCTACAGACTATCTTGGGCTGTAAAAATTGAAACGGACTTTTATATATGGAATATTGCATACAGTGTATATAAATATCACAAAACCTTTTGGATTGCCACTTAGATAGGTACATGTTCACTTGCATTCACCGTTTCTCAAGTTTTTTGCAGTTTCTGCTCTAGTAAACATTCCATTGACTTCAATTAGTATTTTGTTTTGAGGGTTTTTTTTTTGTGTGTGGTTGTTTTTTTTTCTTGTGAAGAGGAGACTAGAACTTGCTAAGGGTTTCAGGATACAGTCCATAACAGTAGTGGAGTCACTCAGTTTTAAGTCTCCTTAAACTAAAATGATTTTGTACACGTATAAATCTACCAAGCTACTGAATAAATTCATTTATTACTAATATATCTGTCTCACATAAATAAACCTTCTAATGTTGATTAGATGGATAAGCCTAGCACAGTGCTAGACAGAACAGGACCTGGATAGTTGCCTGGTGCCAGACAGCTCAATATGTTTATTTCCTGTGTGCTTTAGAGGGGACTAAGCTGAAGTTGGAAAAAGGTTTAAATGAACTATATAATTTCAATCTGTTACTGTAGTAACATTTTTATTTATTGTATATGTCAGTTAGTCATACACAGAATTCTCAAGATACACTACCCCTTTTGTTAGTGGTCAGAGGTGATTTTTTTCAGAAGTGTAATGAGTCA